ATGTAGTATAAATCTTCCTAATAAGACTTATAAATAATTTTTCTAATATTTTAAGATAATAAAAAATAGAATAAGTAATTAATATTTTAAGAGAGAAGGAGTATTTATTTTCCTTTATCTTTTCTCTCTCTCATTTCCTTTCTTCGTCGTTTTTTTCTTGCGAATATACGAAATAAATGGCAATTGGGAAAACTACTCTCAATTCATTAGAAAGTTTTCTAGAATTTCAACATTCTTGAGAAAAAAATATTCAAAACCATTGGTCCCCTACTCTTCCTAGACCCTTCCTCTACCCCACACAACCTCCCCCGAAACCCTAGCCACCAAAACTCTCTACAAAAATTAAAGTTTTAGATATTAAAATTTAAGAATAAAATTATTTTTCAGAAATTAAATATTTTTGTTATGAAAAATATCGTTATTATATTTTTAGCAACGTAAATTAGATATTAGTAATGAATTATTATCCTTTTGGGATAAATTTTTTTGTTTAAAAAAATAAACTATTTTAAGACCAAATTATTGTTCCTAAAAGTCTATTTATTAGTGATATTTTTAAAATTATTGCTAAAAATCTTATTTTTAACTTTTCGGGACGATCTTTTAACGACTATTCTTATGGCAATAGAAATTAGTCCCTAAATGTCTTTTGTAACAAAATTTTGACTTTTAAAAATCAAAATATTTGGTCTCTAAAACTCTTATATGTTGTAGTGACTATCCCCCTAGTCCCTTCCCCTCGTGACCTTACACCCCCTGGCTAGTAAGTGAGAACTCTGACCCCGTTTGTTTTGGGGTTAAATAGATAGGAGGGGATTAGGATGGAGGTGAGGTTATTTAGTGTTGTGTTTGTTTGTAGAGTTGGGGAGGGGATTAGGATGGAGGAGGTGATATAGATGGAGGTTGGACGGAGGATTGAGATGGAGGAGGTAGAGATGGTATTAGAAAAATAGTGAGGGGATTAGAAATTTTTTTATTTTTTATATATTGAGAATTTTTTTAAAAATATTAATGGTTAATTTTTTATATATTTTTATTTGTTTTATTATTTTATATAAAAATAATTTAACAATTCTTACACTAACAACTATTATCAAAACAAATATAATTTTACTTGATCTCCTCACTATAAATTTTCTCCATTCTACCTCTGAAGACAAACTGGGCCACTGCGGATGTCACATTGTCACTAAAACCGTGCCTGTTTTGAGTGAAAATTTGTCTTTTTTCACAGTTTTCATTTTCACTTTCACTTTCACTTGACAAAGGGGCCTGGGGGTGGAAGGGAAGCTATCAAGGGAGGTAGGAAAGATGGGGAATGATGGGGGTGCGGGTGACGGTGGTAGGGAAGGTTAAGGAGGGGCTTGGGATAGGCTGTGGAGGGTGGGGAGGTGGGGGTAGGTAGGTGTCCGTGGGGAGGGACACTTTTTGTATCCCATACCCGATTTTCGTGGGTTTGAATTTTTTTCCATTCATGCCATGTATGTTGAAATTTTTGTGAAACTTACAACTGAATCGATAATAGTTTTCCTATCAAAAGAGTAGCAATTATATATATTAAACAAGAAAGTGTATCACAAAGGCACTCAATTTTCACAAAGTAATGCTACACAACCTCTATCTTCTAAACATACTTAGCACTAATCATAAACTTCTTCGAACAAGCGAAGAACATCTATTTTATAAACTGGTTTATTTTGACCATAATATAACAGTAGCAGGGAAAGATCACAGCTACATCAGTACATTACATGACCACGACGAGGCGGGGGAGGAAATATTTTTGGAGAAAGTGTTGATCCTTCACTTGAATCATACCGGTACTTGTCATGTACCCTTTTAATATATTTTGAAGCATCCCCATCGATGCCATTCTCTTCATGAATCACATGTAGAGAAGATCCATCATTTCCTTCAAATGGCTCAGTCACATAAGAGACAGGCATTGAGCTGTTACTTGGCTCTCTCGCCATTTGGGTCCCGGGAAGCTGAGACAGTGGCGATGGTGGTGGTGGAGTTGTTTTGAGAGAGGGTGTTCCTCCAAGAGTCATCTTGGCAATAGAGAAAGATGATAGTTTGAGAATGTTTGACACCATTTTCATTGACTTCTCATATAGAGACTTCTTGTTGTTGCTTCTTCTGCTGCCCTTGTTGTTGTTGTTGTTGTTCATGGTGTCTCTCTTTTTAACTGTTTATAACTGCTTGACAGTATAATTATCACGAAAGAAGATGAGATGAGTGCAGATAACACTAGCAAACCATAAGGGTATATATAGGCAATGTAAAAAGATTAGGTAATGCACAAAATCTCACTTTGTCCTATCATTTTTCAATTGTGACAGTTAAATCCCTATTCTTTTAATGAAATGCCATTGTCCTCTTCCTTCCAAATCTGTTAAATAAACTGACGAAAATTGCCACATGTCAATATCAAAATTAGTTGAAGACTAAGGAATTGTTCTAATGGATAAAATGTTCTTTTACCAGCGAGATATCTGAGTTTGAGTCTTACTATTGTGTTAGGCAATTTTTCCTTTCTCTATTCCCCTCATACTGATTGTGTATAATATATAATAAATAAATAAATGAAACCAATTACTATTTATTGAAAGGTGAAGAAATATAGTGAAATTAGATGTAAAAAAATGTAGCGGTGCAAATGTAATTTACCCATTTTTTCCTCCTTTCCTCCCTGAGGTCTAATCTCTTGTTTGGGTAATGCATAAGTGGAACCTTCTTTATTACAGCCAAAGTAATAATGGCTTTATTTGTGTGAATGATCCCTTCCTCACACTGCTTGACTTTCCTACTTTTATAGAGACTACATGTTATAAGGAGAATCTATCCTCTCTACATATCTATGCTTCACACGTACCACACTATCTTCAACAATAATGTTGCTGTTTTTAAAGGTAACTCTTTATTGCATGTACCACTAAGGGTGGTAACTTAGGAGCTCACTTTTAGTAAGGAGTGATACGATTTTTATTCATCTTTGCTTTTGGCTTTTCTGTTTGTTAGGATTTTAATGGAGTTGGGGTCAAGTTATGACTTAACTTCGTCTTAAAAAAAAATCTATAATTCCTCGTGTTTGATATCTTAATTTTTTCAGCCTTATCTAGGCTTTCTTGTTAGGTTTTACAATAGATAGAGATTCTTTTGATCACGCACAAAGAAGATTACTATGATTAGTTGTCCATTCCTTATTTATTTTTGGGAGAAAAATGAAAAAAAAAAAAAATTCTTTTTATTACATGTGTTCCTCCATATGCCCAGTACTTTGGGATTCAAATATATGATTAATCTAATTCATAAAAAAGATGTTGGATATTACTGTACTGTGCCTATAGAAAATTCAGCAAAAGAATGTGTTTGTTCAATTACAATTAGACATTGAAAACACATCAATGGACAACATTTTTAGTGATTTATTGATAAAGCCCATTTCTTAAAAATCTTATTCATCCAATTATTTTGTGTTCAAATTCTGTGTCGCTACACTTGCTATTTAACTAATATGAGGTGATATAGCTAAAACACATGACATTGAGGTAGTATAGGATTTGTGTGTAACGTATATATAAGCCTTGTTTGGGATATTATTTTTTTAATTAAAATAGTTAATAACAACAAAATAGATTAAAATAGTCAATAAGACAAAATGTCATATTCAAACTATAATCATTTTACTTTTTTCTCTCACAACTATAATCAATTATCATTCCAAACATAACTTTTTTAATCAAGTTTCCAAACGGGGCCATAGTAAGTTGTTGGTTGTATAGCTTAAAATTAAGAAAGTTGGAACAAGATTCTTCACTAAATGCTTTTTCCATTACTATGTGGTAGCTAAGCTAACCACATGATTAATGTCCGTAGTTGTTTACAAGTACATAATAATGTGTTACTACTACCTAGTTTAAACTAAAGTTTAGTTTTAGAACAAGATTCTTATCTACCACTAGCAGCTTAGCTCGCTCTCTCTCTCCTTCCCACCACTAATCATTTTTTTTTTACTTCTTGTTTCTCTTTATGCTGTATTTGGTTGGGAGATTTGGGAAGGGAAATGGAAAGGGAAATGGAAATGAAAGGAAAAGGAAAAAGAATTAATAGAATTTCAAATCCCAACTATGTTTGGTTGTGTTGGGAATCCAAGGAGGAAAAGAAATCATTTCTCATGAACTCTCTCATTGTCCTTCACACACAGAATTGTAGTCATGAATTGCAATAACAAAAAATAAGGTTGCACATGATCAAAGTGCTATTTGTTTTTTAGAAAAAAAAAAACAAAATTAATTAATTTTTTTTAAAAAATAAAAAATCAATCAAAATAAAAAATTAATTTATTATATTTTGATAAAAATAAATAAATATATATATATATATATATTAATTTGATAAAAAATTAATCAATCAAAATAAAAAATCAATCAAAATAAAAAATAAAAAAATAAAAAATTAATTTGATAAAAATAAAAAATCATAACTAAACAAAACTTTATTATATTTTCTCGACAAATATATATATATATATATGTTATTTTCTTCTAATTTTTCTAATCCAACCAAAAATGTACGAGAACATAACAACCACATCAATCACTAGAGCACAGAACAAGTGAAAACATATAGTCAAACACTAAAATTACATAGATCATCTTTTTTTTTTGACAATAATATAAAAGCATTTATATATTAGTGGAAGAGCTTCCCCTCCAAACTTGATAAAGTTTGAATTGCAGATTCAACAGACAGACAACAATTTAAATTGAACATAATGATGACTCCAAGAGTTCTATTATGATGATCAGAATAATCTCACAAGCATTACCAAAAAAAAAAAAAAAAAAAAAAAAAAAAAAAAAATCAATGTATCATAGTGCAGCAATGCATCACAACCACCTACAGACAGCTAGCATCAGCAACAGCATAAGTGCAGAACACCAAACCAAAGCATAAGACAGCATTAGCAGCAGAACATCAAAACCAAGACACCAGACTCATCCACCAATATAGAAAATATAATATCAATGTATCATAGTGCAGTAATGCATCACAATCAGAATAACAGATTCATCTACCAAAATAGACTCACCACCAACTAATAGAGTCTACATACAAAAAATTCAAGCCTAATGATATTTTCATAGATTCACCACATCCCCAAAATATTCAAATAAAAAAGTACCAACGAAAGAAAAATAGTACTACACATCAAAGATTGAAGATCCGAATTTAACAGACAACCAAAGACCTCGGCGTTCAATAGGGCATTCTAGGTATGCTCGAGCATCACTCACTTCTTTAGCAAGAACTTGATACTCCTTCATTCGAGAAGCATCACTCATGCCACTAACCTTCTCAATCTCCTCAAATAATTGTCCATTTGTGTAGTTCCGAAGGTTACCACGATCAAGCGCTGCTGCAACTGCATCTAGACCTTCCTTAATTGACCTTATTTCCTTACTCAGAGTGTCACCTAATTTATTCTTTCTCTTCTTTGAGTTAGAGGAACAAGATACTTCAGCAGTTTGGTCATCTTGAGTTCCAATCCCATCAAAATTCTTTGAGAGTGACTCAGTATGATCAGTATTTTCATCATCCAAAAGAATTTGTTGCCCAGCCCAACGAAGTCGCTTTTCTTTTGGACCTATAGCAAGACTCCCAGTTGCTCGATCCTTTTCGAAGAGTTGACATAACTTTTGAAAGTTTTGAATCGGAGCATGTCGAAATTGAGAAGCTTTAGGCTTTGCCTATAGAGAATAGCATATATAATATTATATTAAATAATGATGAACAAATATTGTAATTTTCTAGTACAGAACTACATAAATCTGGCAATTAGATATACCTTGAGGTAAGCTGCCCATACACCTGCTGTAGCTTCAATCAGTTGTGTTGAATGATTATATCCAAATCCACTATCAGTTGTTAACATATCTTTAGCCATTGCAAGGTTCCTTTTTAAAGTCTTCAACCGATTCCTTACATGACTGGAATTACAATGTACACTAAACTTGGTACTCACCGCATTGCTTGCAGCTCTATAAGCAGATGATGTAAAACTACCACCAATTTTTTGCCCTTTGAGCATTTGGTCCAAGAGTGAGTCAATAAGAACAACATCCATTTGATTATTCCATTTCAAATGTTTCTTGTCAATTTCTACTGAACATTCTTGGTCACCTTCCACCTACACTCAAAAATGCCATAAAACATATCGGAAGAAGAGCATAGCTAGTAGCAAATTATCACCCAAACAAACGCAATGTTTCACATAATACAATAACAAATTAAAATATAATTCATTCCAAGATAACATTCAAATAATAATAATTAACTTGTCAATTTTTTGTTTTATCAGCAAAAGAAAAATATTATATTGATGTAAAGCAAATGAGTACATAATGGGTACATCACAAGAACAAGAACAAGAACAAGAACATCAAATAACCCTTCTAGCCCCTCTCTGTTTTCCAAAATCCATATTAAAATTTGATTGTCATTGAAGATTTATATCATAATCTCTCCACATGTCAGTAGCTATTCGCTCCCTTAACAATTCTCCTTCCCTACATTCTTCAGCTAAACTTGATCTAGCCACGTTAGATTGCACTTGTGCTCTTCTAAGCTCTGTATCAACCTCCTCAATAAGACTTTCATTGGGATCAACACCCATGAGGTAGTTGTGCAAAATACAACAGGCCAAAACAATATTTGCTTGAGTGGCAACATCATAATATGGCTCTGTCCCACTTCCTAAAATTGGAAACCTTTTCTTTAGGACACCAAAGGCTCTTTCAATTGCATTTCGCAAAGATGCATGACGAAGGTTGAAAAGCTCTCGAGAATTTTCTGGTTGATGAACACTATACTCCTTCAAATGGTAACGAGTACCTCTATATGGAGCAAGGAACCCAGTTTTTAGTTGAAATCCTGCATCTACTAAGTGATATTTCCCTAGGACCAACAAGTAACTAAATGATGTTAGTTTGAAAGAAAATAGATTTATATTCATCAGCATATATACATGTTCAGTGATCACCTTGAGGAACGATCAATTTATCCATTTCTCTTGTTAATGCATTATCTAATATTCTCGAGTCTGAAGCAGATCCTTCCCATCCCGGAAGGATATATGTAAACTTTAAATCAAAAGAATATGCAGCCAAAGCATTTTGAGTGAGATAGCATTTTCGTCCTCGGTATCTTTGTGCATCCTTGTTTGGCACCCTTACACGAAAATGTGTACCATCAATCACACCAACACAATCCTGTAAAAATTCATTATTTGTATCCAAACATATAATATTATATACCCTAATTGCATTCATGTATCTACCTCAAAATAAGGCCAATACTTGGGATTGTTTCTAATCTCTGGAGGGCAGTTGAATCCATCAGGTTGCTTTAAAAAGATATCTTCCAATGATATAATGGCTTTAAGAACTTGATGAAAATGTCGACTAACAGTCTCACCTGATCGTCTATAAGAGAACTTGATCGTACGGTTCCTCAAATTATGGCCAATTATATGAAGGAATTTTGCAACTTGTTCTTCTACTTTACTTTGAGGATTGTCTCTAAGAAACTGAGTTCTTTTAAGCATGCTAACTAGTGTGGCAAACGCCTCTTTGCTCATGCGTAACTGGCTACGACAATCTGCATCTTCTAAAGTCGTTAGCCGTTTAATTAGGGCATATCTTTCATAATCTCCTTGTTCTGAAATTGACTTCCTTATATGATCACGACAATGAAGAATTGAGACAAGGCTGACAGCATATGAAGCATACATAGCTACACAAGTGGCTGCCCACTTTCTGTACTTTTCCCACTCCTCTTGATCATTTATCTACAATTTTTTAATATATCTTGAATTAAACAAAATGTTGATAATAATTCTAATAAATTAAAGAAATTGATATAATATTATAAAAAATGTGAACGATATCAATGTATCAAGATTTTGAAATTACAGGTATATTGCAAAAATAGCATATACTTCATTTCGTGATAAGATAGTGACAGATGGCTTCAGTAAGTTGTGTACAATGTGTATAAACGTAACTGTAAATTCATAGATTTCCTATTGGTACTTTTAGCCATCCACCTGATTGGCGAGATCACCCAGAACCCACTTAATTACATATTATATTTTCATGTTCTTATGCATCCCCTATTATGTAGGTTCGACTCTCAGGGCTGCCACTCTTTGCAAATGAAACCAGAAGTTAGGTTTATATGCAGTCCACCTCTTCCAGCACTAAATAGTGACCTTTTCCCTTACTTTTTCAGTGTAAATTGATTCAGTACAACTATTTAGCTACCATTTTAACTGGTGAAGATGTTGAAGCAACTCAAACGGTGGAATTGCTAGACCAACATGAAACAGTTTATTTGTCAACTAAACCATATTCATTTGTTAGCTATATTATGTACATGCCAATATTTTCTTACACCAAACATGAAACACCCCCTAATGTAATTGAAATATACACATGTATAGTGTAAAGCTCTATATAACCTGTTCAGTCATGCAAGTAAAACCTTGAGCTGTATACATTATACCTTCGCTAATTGAAACAATAAAAACTACAAGCTGAAAATCTATTCCATAGGCACATGAAATACAGTTTCCCAAATTATCAAACAAATAAAATTTGAAATATAGGGTCCCTTACAAAGTAGAAGTGTGGAAAACCATTACACAATAGAGACAGTGCACAAATAAGGTAAAATTTGTGCATACGTAAGGTTAAAATAAATGCCCAAATTGAGTGCAAACACAACTCATAGCTAAAATCAGACAGGGTACATATAAATAATAGAGAAATAGACAATTTAAAGCTAAAACCTATACAGAAGGGTATTGCCCAAATATATGATTAATGTATAGACTAAGCCTGTATTTCAATAGAGATATGTCTTTATAGGCCTCAAATTGCAGTTCATATTTCAAGACTAAAAGCATAGGGCAAAAGGACAATTTGTGGCAGAACAAGAGATTCAGAGTTGATAGGATTAACTCATATAGGCATGTGGCAAGTATGTTAAATGTAGCATGGATAGCATTTGTAGACACTGAAGGGCTTCAATCCTCTAAGGTTCCACATGGAAAATGTCTTAACAATCACAAATTAGAAAAGATTAGACTTATAATGAATTAAACAAGATGTGTGTATCCCTCCTCTCAACAAAAAAGGAGAAACAACAAACATATGGATCCAAATAGAAAATGGCATTGGCAGTGAAATACATGAGCTAAACATTGAAATTTCCATCTTATAAAGAAGAGTAAAATAAAGGATACAAATGTCATACAAAGGCAGCACAAAATGAACCCCACTCATTGTCATAGTATCACTGCCATCTCTATCTTGGCAGTCTTCTCAAGCATTCTAAGCAGGAAAGGAAGCTAATGGATTTAATCCTAATAAAGGCTTCATAAATGCCTAATTCAGGATCACTTGTGAAGATGAAAACTGCAGAGAGTGCTACAACCAGTGGTGGACCCAGAAATCATGAGTAGAGGTGCCATGTTAACTCAAAATTAAAACAGTGAATTTGTTATGAAATGAAAACAGAACTGGCTGTAAATTAATAATGCAAGTTTAAGATTGTTTTCAATAGGAACCTGAATTCTTGTGTTGCCCAAGGAAATAAAAGGTTCATATCAATGATTCCATCTATATTGAATCTTAATGCAAGTTGAAAATATATAGTCATAACTGAGTGTATGTCCACTAGCTTTTGATGAATATCATTCCTTGGATTCTACATTTCCCTTAATTGTGATTTGCTTTTGAATTTTTCTTATAAATGTTTTAAATTATTTTATCTTTGATTTATCATAAATTTTTTGAAATTATTATTATGTCTTGTTTCATTGAATTCTACAGTTTCATTGGAAAGAAATATCAGCACTTTTGCATGTTCAATGGTATGCTTTATGCCTGGGTTTATTTGCATCAGTTATAGCACTTTAGGGGTTATTTTTTGCAAGTGGCTTGAAGATAGCTTTTCAAATTAAGGTGCATCTTGTTCACTATTTCTTTGCTCAAATTTATAAATTTGTATCAGTATCCAAATGAGATCCATAGTAAGTGTTCATTTGCTTTCTTCTCTCAATTATTGTAGGATTTTGGTGAGAGTATATTCCTGGAGATGGTGGGTTTACTGACAGAATGGATTGTCAGGTTGGCTACTAAAATTTTCAGTTCTTGCAGACATTTATTCATACCAATTCATTTGTTGCCTCTAAATTATTCTTATTCTTAAGATATTATATTCTCCAATGTTAGATTTCTTCTTTGTCTGATTGTGAGTAGTATGTGCTAAAAGTTTTTATATATTGTTTCATTTTCACAATGCTGGTTACGTTGTTCCAGATTATTTTTATTCCTTAGCTCACACATCTGATTTGCTTTATCTTTCTAAATGTTTGTGCTTTGCATAGAAGAAAATAAATAACCATAGGGGGAAACAAAGGGTGAACAACTAAATCCATGGAAAAACTAATTGTGTAATCAAGTTTTCTTACCTAAATGAATGCTTTCTTCAATGACAATGATATCCACTCCAAGAATTCATGTTGGTTAATTATAAACTTTTTTTGGTTATTGGAGGAAAGAGGAAGTCAAATCTGTAACCTCCTAATGGGATACTATACCAATATTTTTTAAATTTATTTTTTCATTTGTTTATTATTATGTTCATAATAGATTAGGGAGTTGTTACTTAATGATGACATGAAGAGGGGCCTCCAAAGCAGGGCCTCCAAAGCATTATATATATCTGAACTTCCTAGATTGAGAAGCAATCCTAATTCCTAAAACATTTAAATTTAAGAGAAATATTATATGTTATTAATTTTTTATATTTTTTTATCGCTTATGTGAATATTTATGCATTAGTTCTTTGTTTAGAAATTATCATTAAATAAATAATGTAAATGAATAATACCTTATCATGCATTCTCGTAATATTGAACAATAAAAAAAAATCCCAATATTATATTGTATGGCTTACATTGTACACAACTTGAAATTCTCTATAATACGTGAAATGATCCATGAACAAGTCTTTTGTGCTTTTCGGTTTGAAAGTCAATTTAAAAATGATTGATGTGCTAAACGCATTTTAATAACAGTGCTAGAGTGAGATTTCTAACAAAAAGAGTTGTTCTATTTTAGGCTGAAAGTTAGTTTGAAACCAAATGGCACAGCAAAACTTAATTGGTTGACATGAAAAACACAACTCTTTTCTAAATTGAAAATTAAATGTGTTCTTTCTAAGTTATGATTTTTTGTAATATTCTGGGTGAAACATCCACACGAGTAAATAAAAATAAGTAAAAAGTAATTCATGAAATAAAATATTTTTGTTTTGATGTGCATCATTTTTCCCTATAAATTATGAGACCATTTGTAAGTATCTTTGGCATTAAGAAGCACTTGTATGTAACAGATTGCTTTATTGAATGTAATGATTGTGATACCTATATGCCTCAAAGTGAGATTGTCGTTGTTCAAAAATTGAAGCTAAATTTTTTGACACAAATTACAAGTACTGCTCGATTGAATATTAAAGGGTATTTTGGGTTGCATTTTGATATCAATAGTCATTGTGAAATGTACATCATGCAATGATAATTATCAACAACAAAAATGCATTAATTCCTGATCGAAAACGAAACTGTGTATGTATATTACTAAACTGTGCATATAATCTATGGGTAATTCTATTACTCTGAACAAATCCATGTATCTATAATCTCTAATTCGTAATAAAATATATATATATATATAGGTGTGTGTATGTATGGAATTTTCAATACAGATCTGAGTTTGATGAGAGGAGAAGAGAAAACGAAAGAGGGGCACCAATACCTGATCGAAACTTTCGGGCAATGAATTATCAATCGAGTTCAGTGATTGAAGATCACCAATTGAAGCAGATGATGATCCCCAATTGGAGCAATTTTCTGAATGATGCTGCGAATCAGAAATTCCTACCAGAGTTAGATCTGCAATTTCACTTCGAAGCAAAATTGTAAAGCAACTTGAACATAAATAAAAAAATTGGTGGAAATCAATAGAGATCTGAGTTTGATGAGAAGGTAAGAGAAAATGAAAGAGGAGCACAAATACCTGATCAAAAAATCCAGGCAATGAATCTTCAATCGAGTTCATTGATTGAAGATTACCAATTGAAGCAAATGATGATCCCTGATTGGAAGGGTTTGCTGAATGATTCTGCGAATCAGAGTTTGCTACCGGAGTTAGATCTTCAAAACTCGTCGATGGTGGTTTTTTGAAGCTACTCATGAATGGTTTCCTGCGAGAAGCCATGAACAATGAAACTCTCTCTCCCCGATAAATTTTTCCCCTCAGTTTTCCCAGTCTTTTCTCACAGATATAAAATAGAATTGATGTCCTAAAAGGTCTCCTATTTCTTTATTTATTTCTCACCCCCTTTCTTTTCTCATATATTTTTTATTATAACCAAACATAAATAGAATTACATTTCTCATTTCTTTTCCAAATCCCATCCCAAAAACCCCAACCAAACACAGCATTAGTGTTGTTTTGGATGGACATATTGTAGTTTTTAGCATAATTTGATAATTATTTTTTTTATTGTTTATTTGACAGACTGTATTGTTTGTTCTTGAAGTAGTCATTTTTTTTGTCATTTTGCTTCTTGTTTGGATGAATAGGTGCAATATATATATAAATCGAATTAGGTGAACATTATTTCTTCTCTCACTACAAAATTAAGAATTATATAGTAAAGTGAGATGATGACATCCACCTAATTAGATTTACATACATATAATTTATTTATTTTTCATTGATAACACCATTTGATTATATATATATTGAGAGGGTAATTTATATGTATAAATTGGACCGAGCTCGGTAATGGGCCGCTGTGGGCCACAGTAAGAAGGGCGGAATAAAAGGATCTTGGCGTTAGCCCGGTCCAAGGGAGTCTTGGAGTTAGCCCGGTCCTAGAAAGCGTTATTGTTATCCCGGTCCAGGAGAGATTTGCGGATAGCCCGGTTGCCACACTCAGAGTTAGCCCAGTCGTGGCTTAATGCAGTTAGCTCAGTCAGACCTAGCCATTCGTTTGCACAGCCTAAGCACACTATGGTTAGTATTGTTTGTACAGAAGAAACCAAGGTACACACAGTGAAAAGAATAACCAAACCAGGTGGAGCTTGGTCTATTCTGCAGCTTTAGCATGGCCATGTTATCCCGGTCGTATTGATATCCGACCTAGGTAAAACCATCTCACTTGGTTTAAGCAGTGAGGGAGTGTTGAAGGATAAGCATTATCTTTCAGGAATGTGATTCCTAGGAGGACTCTACATGGAGGAGTAAGAGTCCTATTAGGATTGTGCCACGCGGAACCTATAAAAGCTCACAACATCACCTATGGAGAGGTAACATAACTTTGATTCCCGAATACACAGAGCTTTTATCTATTTGTCTATTTTGCTGACTTAGGCATCGGAGAGGTATCCGACACACACCCGCCGGCTAGCTCACGTTTGTGTTTTCAGGGAGTAAAGCGACGATGTTTGGAGGAGTGCGGACTTGATCAACAGGATTATACGAGAAGGTTTATTTCTTTCCCGTACAATTGGCGCCGTCTGTGGGAAGATTAGACAAAGAACAAAACCCCTTGATCAAGTTTCCCTCGCTAATTGAATGGCACACAACGAAGATTTGCCGCAGTCCGCCATCGATGGAAAAACCCCAGAGGAGGGTAGGAGGCGCGAAGGATTGCCCTCTGTCCCTTCTATGGCGGACTTAGAGCCCCAGCGATAGAATCCCCGGAGGGATACAAGGGGGAGGCGGAACAACAGACCCCGTCGCTTTCATTCACAAAGTCCTGAAAGGCAAAGGTGAAGAATCGACCCTCAAGCTCTGGAGGATCGTGTAAAAGAGCAAGATGAACTAATAAGGAAGATGGCGGCGGACATGGAGTCCATGAAGCGCCAGATCAAAGGAAAAGGGGTGGCGACAGGAGAGGGGCGCAAAGGCAATACGCTTCCTCGCCACTCAGAAGATCGTGGTAGGCATACCACGCCCTCGCAAACAGAGAGTAGAAGCCTGAGGACAAGCGACACTTAATCAAGGACTTCCAGAACTCGTTACTCCAGGTCTGAGAGAACGAGATCATTGAGGTCTTACACTGAGGGAAGTACCTATCGGCCCTCACATACGCATCAGACATCATCCAGGAAAACGAAGTTGCCTAGATCGTCTGACTTACGAACTGTGCTTGAAGAAAGGGCACGACGAAAGGAAGATGCCAAGGCACGTGACCCGCACAGAGTTTCAACCCTTCAGCGGTTGGCTCCTCGGATGCATGGAAGCGTCAAGGTTGGAATGCCAATACTGCACCTTGCCTACGAACCAACAGATAAAGCATTGGCAAGACTACATAGCTCGACGTTCGTTCCGGCAATTGAGAACGCACCATTACCCTCAGGCTTCATCCAGCCTAAATTTACCACGTACGAAGGGAAGACAGACCCTTACATGCACCTAAGCCACTTTCGCCAGGTTATGGCAGTATACCGACAGAACGAAGCTTTGATGTGCATCCTATTCCCATCCAGCCTTGGCGACCTAGGTTTAACCTGGTTCGAAAGGCTACCAGAAGGCAGCATAGCCTCCTGGGCGCAATTAGCGGAGGCGTTCGTGACAAGATTCAGAACGAACACCAAGACGCCAATGGAGATTGATCAGCTACTCTCCATTGACATGGGCGACAAAGAAACATGGAGGTCCTACAACAGTGGCTATTGGGAGACGTTCAACCAGATAGGGAACTACCCCACCAATCTCGCCATCGCACAATACAAAGAGGACTTCCAGTCGGAAACTGATTGAGGGATTCGATTACAATGACTCCACCCCTCACGATGGAAGCCCTGATGGAGAGAGTGCACCAACATATTCGGGTGGAGGAGGATGGTGCTCGTGCCAAGGCAAAATCGGGTGCGACAGCAACACCAGACAAGAAGACTACGGCGAAGGTCAATACGGTAGAACGTCAAAGCAAGAATGGACGAGGTAGGCGAGACAACGAAGAGGACCGAGATAAAAGATGGTTGAGAGTCCGCACTGCCATTACCACGGTATTCAAGAAACCAATCTACTGGATTCTCAGTGAGATACGCGATGAACCTTTCGTCAAATGGCCAACTAAATTGGGAGAAGCACAGAAGGACTATGACAAAAGATCTCGATGCACCTTCCATAAGGAAAAGGGGCACCGCACTGAAAACTGCACACCATTGAGACAGCATCTAAAGGAATTAGTGGCAGCTGGTCACCTGGACCGGTACATAGAAGGAGGGACGCAGCCAGCCCCCCAAAACCACATTCACCCAGACGGAACACCGAATGACGCCCTACCTCAAGGCGTGATAAACGTAATACATGGAGTATTCGAGCCTGAGCGAGTATGTGAGCTCAGGGGCATGATAAAGAAGGTTGAGCACTTAAGGGAAGTATTAAGTGCGCAGCCCACCATTAAAAAGGGGAAAACAGAGGCCACGAATGTCATGTCTTTTTCAGACAAAGACTTGGAAAGGATATATTGCCCTCACAACGATGCACTGGTCGCCACTCTTCGCATCAAGGATTACGACGTCAAGCGAATTTTGATTGACCAAGGAAACCCATGTGAAATAATGTACTACAAAACTTTCAAACAATTGAAATTAAAAGACAAAGACTTGGCACCCGCCGTATCACCCCTGATCGGGTTCAACTCAATGCCAGAGTGGCCAGTCGGCAAGATAATCCTCCCAGTCAGAGCAGGAAGCATGACCAAACAAGTGGAATTCAGGGTATTGAAAGTGCCCTCCACTTACAACATAATCTTGGGAAGGACGTGGCTGCACGACATGACTGCACGCCATGAGAGCGGTAGCGTCAACCTACCATCAAGTAATGCGGTTCCCCAACGAAGCCGGAGTAATTGAAGAGGTCTATGGAGATCAAATTATGTCCAAGCAATGCTTCATCACAGTAAATGGCAGCCGAGCTGCCAAAGGGTTTGTTCAAATGGTGGAAGAGCCAGAAAATAACGAATTATTTACGGATGTTGGCAAAGCCGCTGAACAGAAGGCAGTGGAAGACTTGGTACAGGTAAGAATAGATGAAAAGAACCCGGATAAGTTCTTTTTGCTTGGCTCATCTATGTCCAGCACTGAGAGAATAGAGGTCATGGAATTCTTGACCTCTAACATCGAAGTGTTTGCCTGGACGCCGTATGACATACCTGGCATTGACCCAAGCTTCATCTGTCACCAATTGAATGTCCACCCAACTACCAGACCAATTATACAGCGCACTCGCAGATCGGCACTCCACCATGCCGAGATAATGGTGGAAGAAGTAGAAAACCTGCTAGAAGCAGGAGCTATCAGAGAGGTGCACTACGCCAGATGGATCTCCAACACAGTAGTAGTGCCTAAGAAGAATGGAAAATGGCGTGTCTGTGTGGACTACAAAACGGTCAACAAGGCATGCCCAAAAGACAGCTTTCCTCTTCCACGGATAGACCAACTGGTAGATCTGAGGGCAGGACACAACCGTCTTAGCTTCCTTGATGCGTACAGAGGCTACCATCAGATCGTTATGTATGAACCAGACCAGGAGGTCACATCTTTTACAACGCCAACAGGACTTTACTGCTACAAGGTCATGCCCTTTGGCCTAAAGAATGCAGGAGCAACATTCCAACGGATGGTCACCAAGATGTTTGAACCATTGTTAGGCAGAACAATGGAGGCTTACATCGACGACATGGTGGTCAAAAGCAAGGATAAGAATGACCATCTCAAAGACCTAGGTGAGATGTTTCAAATCCTGAAAAAGCACAAGCTACGCCTTAATGCATCTAAGTGCGCGTTCGGCGTAGGATCTGGCAAGTTCCTAGGCTTCCTGGTGACCAACCGAGGTATAGAGGCAGACCCTTCTCAAATCAAAGCAATTCACGATCTAGAAAGGCCCAACTCAGTAAAAGAAGTACAGCATCTCACCGGTATGGCAGCCGCACTCAACTGGTTCATCAGTCGGTCGTCAGACAGATGTCGACCATTTTTTTAAGCATTAAAGCCCAAGTTTGAGTGGGATGAAGAATGCGACCGTGCTCTTAAAAGTTTGAAAGAATACCTATCTTCTCCACCGCTGCTAGTGACCCCAATACCTGGAGAAGAACTATTTTTGTACCTGGCAGTCTCACAGCACGCAATTAGCGCAGTGTTGGTCCGAGCGGAAGGAATCCAACATCTGCCCATCTTTTATGTCAGCAAGACATTGCTGGGTGCAGAAACCAGGTACTTACCATTAGAAAAATTGGCATTAGCCTTGACGATAGCATCAAGGAAGTTGTCGCACTACTTTCACGCCCACACCATAATCGTCCTCACAGCTTTCCCATTAAAAGCT